AGAGAGAGAGAGAGAGAGAGAGAGAGAGAGAGAGAGAGGGGGGGGGGGGGGGGGGGGGGGCAGAGGGCACAGATATTGGAAGTGTGTGGGGCATGTCCCACCCGGTGCCTATGGCGGTTACGCCCATGCGATCCAGTTTTCCACATCATCATCAGGGGTAGACATAAGGATATTTTTCAGGTTGTCCAGCGGACAGCCTGTTGGCAAAACCTGGTTGTCCGCAAAACATTGTGGTTGTCCAAAAGAATCTCAAGAAAAATGTAATTTAACAAGTATATTGTTCTGTAGACAAAGTTTAATATACAATTGTTCTCAGTCAGCCAGGTTGACAGGATCTGAATGAATAAAACTTCCTCATTCTCTTCTTGAAATAGAGTATTTAAGSCTCAGGGAGTAAAGCAGCAAAAATGTTGCTAATAAAATCTAGAGGTTACCCAACATACATAAACTTCTTTCTGCTCATAGGTCAAACATTTTCACTTAAATAGGAGTATACTGTGTACATGACCTTATTAAAAGTTACAGTTTAGTGTTCTGTTTGGCGTTACCAAGTTTTTTCTCCCTTTCATTTTTACAAATGGCGGACACCCGCGGCAGAGAACTTTATTCAATGTCTTTTTTTCTTGGTGGTCCACCGGACAACCAGGAGACAGGATCTGGTTGTCCGAAATGAAAATAGGTTGTCTCGGACAACCTAAACAATGGTTATGTCTATCTCTGATCATGCTTCACAACTGCCGTTAAGAAGTCAAGACGCACACAAGTATGCAACTATGTCCACAGTGTGGGAACACTTTTCAGTGGAAAACAATGATGCTGAAACTGCATCTTGCAAAATCTGCAAACTGTTTCTCATTGTGGGAACAGCAGGGCTCGCTTTAATACTACCAACCTTTTCACTTGGAAAGGAATAAAAAAATAAAGCTACGGCATCGGTATCGGAAAGACTAATCATTAAAAAAATCGGATTGTATCGGGAGCCAAAAAATCTGGATCGGGACYTCTCTATTTTTGATTTAAAAGTCAGACAGGGCTGTCTACTAGCAACATCATCAAAATGCCAGCAGGGAAATAGGTTTTAGATGAATATTTAGTTTATTTAAGAAGATTTATACTTTCAGATTCTGTGCTAAGAATTAAAAGCTGCCATATTGATCCCAGTCTTGTTCTCAGACGTGCAGTATGTTAGTATGAGTGACAGAAGCATGCACTGAACATAATGATGCTTTTGTAACATTTAATATTATTAACATATTATTGACCCTAATGAAAAAAACATCTTATTTACAGTGGGAAATGGCCTCAAGCTGTGCGAGCTAACGGACATCTGCTCCTCAACTCTGAAAAGGTTTGTTAAAGGGCCTGTGACATCAGATTTTTGTAATGAATATGAATTCATTTTTTGGTAGATAACATTGATAACATATTGTAAAACAAATTTTATGCTGTTGAGATGAACAGTTTTTGAGCTATTTGCATGTGAAGTAACAGGAAGTGATGTCAAAGGGGAATGTCTGAGTGTGAACAGAGCACTGCTACAACAGCTAACACAAACTGTAGAGAAGTATCTGATGTTTCTTTAGATCATTTTGAGTCGCTATCAAAGAGCCGCAGTCAGAGTTCAAACAATGTTTCAGTAAACAAAGACCAGAGTGTTCCCCTTTGATGTCACTTCCTGTTTCATTATGTTTGAGCCAAGTTTAGAAGAAAATATGCCAGTTATGTGACAAAATAGGTAAAATCATGCGTATTATTTAAAGTTTCTTAAATATAAATAAGTTTTATTTGACTTTTTATATTTGAAGAATATGCACATCACAGGCACTTTAAGCATTAGTTTTTGTAGTGAGCCTTTAAAATTTTAAAGACACACAAAAAAAAAAAAAAAATATATATATAAACCTTTTGAAATTATTAATTATTAAATGGTAAAACAACATTAGATGTTACATTAAAACTAATTTATTAATGTCAGTAATTGTCTTACTTTGAACATTATTAAGCATTTCATTTAGTGTGTTGTGATGTTGAATTGAGCTTGTTTTAGTCATTTTAAATTGACAGATGTTTTGAAAAGATTTTGGTTGCTGAAATGGTTTTGTGAACCCTTTTTTTATTTCTCTACCAGATGTCCAAATCAACAGGAAACTTTCTCACCCTCTGCCAAGCCATTGAAAAGTTTTCAGCAGATGGTAAAACATTTTGATTACGCTTTACGTCTTTTTGCCTTCTTCTTTTGCTAATTCTCTGTCTTGTTGCACTGAAATATGAAACAAATAGTTTATTTCACACTAAGGTGTTTGAATTGATCCGGATGATATGAGAAGCTGTACAAGTCAGATTCTTTATGCTGTCTAAGTAATAAACGTCTGGATGATTTTTGAATGCGTTAATCAAACTGATACGTGGAAGGCAGAATATTTTCAATAAGTTCTGTCACCCAGAGAAACCAATAAATGTCCAGAGACTTTTATGTTTTAATGCATCATAAAGTAATCTGTGTATGCATGAGCTGCACTGTAGCAATACTTCCTGTTGGTCAGGATGATACAGTGGAAACAAAT